TTTTGTAAACCTGCAAAAGATTTATTGAAAAATTCAAAGTTTTCTGTCACCAGAAATCTAATTTGTCTCGATTTCCAAATCCTCCTCCATAATTTGAAACTTTAATTTGAATTTTGAATTTGAAATTAGGATTTATTACCCTTCCTGATTTGTCTGGGTTTCCAAATCCTCCTCCATAATTTCATCTGGATTTGCATCATTAGTCTTCAAGAAAACACAAAATTCCAGATAAAATTATCTTTATTTTATTGAACTATTTTGCAAACCAGTAGAGGTTCAATTAGAAAATTCTAAGTTTTATTGTTCTTGATCTAGTTTATATTTTACTAGTTCAATTCAGAGCATATTTGTTTTAGGAATATTAATAATTTTGCCACAAGTGATGCAAAGTTTTAATTTTTCCTCATTTGAAATTACTCTTACAGGTTGCAAATGGAAATCAGAAGCAAGAAGATAAAACAAACTTGAGTGGTAAACAATATAAATATTTAACTTGTTTTTGAAATATATATATTTTATCTTTGTTCTTGTTTTGTGCAGGAAAAATGTATGAAATGGCTCAGGAATTACATTATTCCCATACTAAAGTCCTTTCTGCTCAAAATCCAAACAGTAATGAAGTATCAGATGGTAATAGCAAAGTGTTTTCTGAGTTGGATTCAAAAACTCCATTTGAAAAATTGAAGGTATTAATTAGGCTCTGAGGGGACTATTTGTGATCAACTTTTCCCACCTTTTTTTTAAATATATTTATTCATTATACTATTTATATGTTTTTTACTTTTTATTTTAGAAAAACTCAAAAGAGCTTTTAGATATTATGAATGTTTTTAAAAACAATTTTCAGCTCTAATTCTATATGATTCACTGATTGTTTTTCAATTTTGTAGGATTTACTCATGGAGGAATACATGTCATTCTTGAATAATGCAAACAAGTAAGTTTTATTTATTTTTTTTATTTTTAATGTTTTTCTTGTGAGATTTAAATGACAAAAAAATAAAAAGTAGAAGTTTGCATATAGAATACATTGAAAAATGGTGAAAAATATTAGTTGGATAATTGGAAGTATTAGAAATTTTGAACTAACGAACTAACACAATGAAGAAGAAAGGAAATATACAAAATGGTGTCTATCAAACACAAACGTTGACATTTAAGGCATGAATTTATTGACTTTAATTTCATTGTTTGTCCATTCAATAATAGTTCGTGGCTAAATAAATTAGTATTGTTTTATCTTTTTTTTTTTTTGACATGAGTTTACTGATAAATAAGCTTTCAATTTTGTTTTTCTCTCCACCCTTCAATTTAGAGAGGAGCTCATGCTACTAAAGGTAATTTTTTAATTTATTATTATTTATTTATTTTATTTTCATAATTCATATAACAATTTTTTTATCTTTTTTTTTTAAATTAAAATTTTTTATTACTTTGTTTTCCTTACAGGGAATTGGTCAAAAAAGAGCAGAAAGTATACTTGAGCTAAGGAAAAGCTCCCTTATGCCTTTTAAATCAGTGAGTTCATGATAAACTTTAGGTTTACCTAAGCTTGTTTTCTTTTCTTATAAAAAATAATCATTTCTTGTTGTTTTATTACAGTTATCAGATTTGGAAAAAATAGGTCTTTCTACCAAACAGGTGAGTCTCAATTTTTTAATTCTTAGTTTTATTAAAAGTTAAAAAAATTGTCTTCTTTTTTTAATTCTTTTTTTTATATTTAAATTCTTTTCATTTTTAAGTTTTTAACTTCTATTTTCTTTACTTGTTATTAGAACATTTTTTTATTTTATTATTAGTAAGCCACCTAGACATTATAAAACTTTAAAATTTCTATTCATACAAGTGCAAGCCTTATTTAAAGGAGGAAGAATCTTTATATGATAGAGGAGGATGTGGCCTTCTTTCATGAATATTCAAAAGTTATATTGTGATTTTGATCTAAGTGTTTTTGGTATTGTGTAGAAGGTATAAATTTAAAATTTATATTCATACAGGTGCAAGCCCTATTCAAAAGAGGAAGAATCTTTATGTAAGTGAGGAGGATGTGGCCTTCTTCATGAATATTCAAAAGTTACATTGTGATTTTGATCTAAGTGTATTTGGTATTATGGAGCCATTTCATTTTTAGTTGGACAAAAATATGTAGAATTTGTTTGATTGTATGATAGTTGTCCTAAATGAATTCTTTGAAGTATTCTAGATGTAATATTGTGTTTTCTATGTGAGTGTTTTTGGCACCATTTGCCACAATATTTGTGTTTTTGATATCATTTGTTTGATTGTTTTTATAATAGTTGGACTTTCAAACAATTTCAAGAGTTTAGGGTAAGTTGTATTTTATATTTTTATTTTTTGAAAATAGTTTCTTGCATGTGTGTTTAATTTACATTTTGACATGAAAATAGTTCTATTCACTTCTTGGTTTGGTCTATGAGGGCTAAGTGATGCAATACAGTCTCAACATATTCAAGGATTTGCAAATGCAATAAGAGTTTTTTGGGTTAGAGGCTTTGCATATCCACGACTATCTTTGTGAGTTTGTGAAAAGGAAATATGAAGGTTAGCTTTGTCTTGGTTTTGCTAAAAGAAGTATGAAGGTTAGTATTGTATTAGGTTTGAGACATTGCATGTGTTGTCTTTGCGAGTTTTCATAAGTTTGCTCAAAGTCCCCAAAAAAAAAATTAAAAATAAAAATTACAGTCAGCATTGCAATTGTTATTATCGTCATCTGACATAGAGTTCAAAGAAGATGATATTAATCATGCATAGCCGCTTCCCCTTAATGTAATTCAATATATTTTAAAATATGATGTCACTCTCCTTCCTTTAAAGACTAGGTTGATTCCCCTCTTTTTTTGTGTAATGAACATATTTTAAGCAAGTCCAAAATTTCCTTCCAAAGTTGAATGCAAGGAACCATTTTTGAGAATATCACAAGCAAGATCATGTCTAAAGTTGGTTGAGCATTGCATACTACCTTGGGTTTATTTCTATGTTTTGTTATTTTGCAACTTTTTGTATACACCTCTTATATAACCTTGATTGATTATTGAATAAAACATTATTGCCTCGTTGCTTTCATATATTTATAATGGTGGCTTGAGGATTTCCCTTTTGTTGGATATTTCTATATTTTGTTATTTTGTAGCTTTTTGTGTACACCTCTTATATGACCTTGAATGATTATTGAATGAAACATTATTGCCTCGTTGCTTTCATATATTTATAATGGCGGTCTGAGGATTTCCCTTTTGTTGGATATGTTTGATGATCTCTCTCTTGTTAAATATATGGAGTCTGTGACTTATCTACCTCACCTACCACGTCTCACCTACCTCTCTCCCACCTACCACCTACATCTCTCCACCTACCTCTCTTATTTTCTTTAAATAACTTCTTTTGGCCTGTCATAAGAGCTAAGCCAAGCCCTTTTAATCGCTCTTAATCAATCTCCTTAATCCCTCCGCTCCTTACGCTTGGCTCTGCAAAGCTTACGGTAGAGAGCTAAGAGAGAGAGGAAGGGAGCGAGAGAGAGAGGAAGTTTTCTTGTAAATATCGAGACGCTCGACGGTGTAATTTCTCAAAGTATTAAAATCTTCTGCAGCTCCGTGAACATATACAAATTAGTCGAATCATGTAAATTTGTGTTGCAACCTTTATTGTCACATTACTGCAAAGTATTCTCATTTGTACAACATTTATCAATGGCCTAAATCTTTATAGTCGCATTTCTTTCTTGTCTTTATTTTTTTACAATCAACAGAATTGTTGTTTTACAATCTTTATAGTCGGTTTCATATATTTATAATGGCGGTCTGAGGATTTCCCTTTTGTTGTATATGTTTGATGATCTCTCTCTTGTTAAATATATAGAGTCTGTGACTTATCTACCTCACCTACCACGCCTCACCTACCACGTCTCACCTATCTCTCTCCCACCTACCACCTGCCTCTCTTATTTTCTTTAAATAACCTCTTTTGGTATGTCATAAGAGCTAAGCCAAGCCCTTTTAGTCGCTCTTAATCAATCTCCTTAATCCCTCCGCTCCTTACGCTTGGCTCGGCAAAGCTTACGGTGGAGAGCTAAGAGAGAGAGAGAGAGAGGAAGGGAGCGAGAGAGAGGAAGTTTTCTTGTAAATATCGAGACGCTCGATGGTGTAATTTCTCGAAGTATTAAAATCCTCTGCAACTCCGTGGACATATGCAAATTAGTCGAACCACGTAAATCTATGTTATCTTCTGGTTTTACAGTTTTTCAATATGATTTTTATCACTTTATTGTCATTATTTTTCATAACAATTGATATCAGAGCTTTAGTTCAGATATAAGGAAGAACGATGGGCCGAGACGAAGTGATGGAATCGATGATCAAGAAGTTCAATGACACGGATTTTGGTCGTTGAATGATGCATATAGATGACTATCTCTATAGGGAAGAAACTTTAGTTCCATTACTGGGAAAGAAGCCGGAAAAGATGGACGAAACGGGATGGAATCTGTTGAATAGACATGTTTTAGGGGTTATACGATTAATTCTGTCAAGATCTGTTGCCCACAACATCATCAAGGAGATAACTACTACATATCTCATGACGCTTTTATTATGTATGTATGAATAGCCATCGAAAAATAATAAAGTGCACCTGATGAAAAAGTTATTCAACTTGAAGAAGACGGAAGGTGTGTATGTTGTTCAACACCCGAATGATTTCAGCATTATCACAAATAAGTTGGTGTCTGTTAAAATTGATTTTAATGATGAGATACGTGCGTTGATATTTTTGGCTTCATTGTCAAATAGTTGGGAAGTCATGACGATGATAGTAGTAGTCTTGCAGTTAAATCTAAGTTGAAGTATGATGATATTTGTGATTTGATTTTGGCTGAGGAGGTGTGCAAGAAAGATTCTAGCGAGACCTCGGGTTCGAGTTCAACATTGATTGTTGATTTTAGAGGGAGATCACAGAACAAGAACTCAAACAAATAAAGATTAAAGTTAAAGTTGGTCAGCAGACAACCTGCTGGAATTGTGGCAAAGCTGACCACATAAAAATGAATTACATAAATCCTAAGAAGAAGAAGGATGATAACGCAAATGTGGTAACTAAAAAAATATATGATGCGGTATTGCTGGCAGTTCACAGTTCTGTTGATGAGTAGATACTGGATTTAGGGGCTTCCTTCCATGCATCTTCCCAAACTGGAGTTGATGTGAAACTATGTTGCAGATGACTTTAGGAAGATATATTTGGCTGATGGAATAACTTTGAAAGTGGTGGAGAAAGGAGACTTTGATATTGCACTCCCTAACAAGAGTAAATGGAATTTGCAAAAAGTCAGGCAAATTCATGAGTTGAAGAAAATTCTCTTTTTTGTTGGGCAGCTCAATGAGAGTGGTTATTCAGTAGTGTTCTAAAATAGCACCTGGAAGGTTACCAAAGGAGCATTAGTACTGGCTCGAGATAAGAAAATTGATACACTATATATGACTACAGGTTTGCTCAACAATGTTGCTACTACAGTTGTAGAGAGCGCAACAGATTTGCGGCGTTGCAGACTTGGTCACATGACCATAGCTATAAATAAATATTTTCAGATGAGAATTAGAGTAAGTGAGAGCTGGCCAAGAAGGAGGAGACAGATTCTCTGTCAGGGAATCAGACGTGGGAGCTTACAGAACTTCTACCAGGGAAGAAGACATTGCATAACAAGTGGGTGTACCGGGTGAAGACTGTGTTTGATGGCAATAAATGGTACAAGGCCAGACCAGACACAAGTCTTGACTTATTGAAAAAGGCTTTTAGCTGTGACATGATATTGCCCATGTAGTGGGAGTTGTAAGCAGATTTATGAATAACCTAGGAAAGAGCTTGAAGGTACAAGACTATGTTAACATTGATATGTTGACTAAGGGTGTTACTCTTGAGAATTGAAGTTGTGCTCGACTTCAATTGGTCTTCTAGCGTGAAGAAAGAGTCTTTAAGTTGCATAAGTGAAGGATATCATGTTTGAGAAAAAAATGTTGGTACAACCAACAGATGATGCAGCCTGTAGGTGGAGTTACAGAGGTGAATGATATCATGTTTGAGGAAAAATGTCGTACAACCAACAAATGATGCAACTTGTAGGTGGTGCAGTCAGTGTCCCAGTTTTCAAGTGGGAGAACTGTTAAATATATAGAGACTGCGACTTACCTACCTCACCTACCACATCTCATCTACCGCGTCTCACCCACCTCTCTCCCATCTACCTCTCTCCACCTATCTCTCCCACATTTTTATTAAATAGCCTATTTTGGCCTTTCACAAGAGCTAAGTCATGCCCTCTTAATCCCTCTTAAGCAATCTCCTTAATCCTTCTGCTCCTTAAGCTTGACTCGGCAAAGCTTACAAGAAAAGCTTACGGTGGAGATCTAAGAGAAAGGAAGAAAGAGATAGAGGAAGAGAGAGAGAGGGGAAGGGAGAGAGAAAAAAGGAATTTTTTTTGTAAATGTCAAGGCGCTTGACAGCTCATTTTCTCGAAGTACTAAAATCCTGTGCAGCTTCATGGACGTAGGCAAATTAGCTGAACCACGTAAATCTATGTGTTATTTTCTGGTCAGTAATTTTTCAATATGATTTTTTTCACTTTGTTGTCGTCATTTTTTATAACATCTCCTTTTCTCTCTCTCTCTCATCCGCCCCTCCACCAACACCTAAAAGCCTTCATTAAGCCCTCAAGCTTTCAAACACTTCTTAAAATCATATATAATTAGAGCCCTACATTCATTCAACCCAAGCTGCCACCTACCTTGAGAAATTATACATCCTACCCAATTTTTTAAAAGACAATCAACCCTTTTTCTTACTTCAACACAAACCTTAATTAAAGGTTGCAATGAAACCCTTAAATAAACTTAGAAAAAAAATAGAAATACATTTTCTCCACTACACCTCTTATAATTATTTCCCATTTCCTATACTTCTCGGCGCCCATGTAACAATCAACTACCAACCATAAAAATAAAATAAAAAACTCACTCATCTACCTATATATGTCATGACAAGTAATCACCTTCACCCCATATTATATCTTTCCTACGATGACCACCCCTAAATGTGCATGTATGAATAAATTAAAATGAAGTATTGCACCATTGCCCCATAAAAAAGTTGATTCTCATCCAAGAGAGTAAAAATGGTGGAATTGATCTCTCTGAACGATTGAAAGAGCTATATTGCATTCTAATGAAATGG